AGGAGTCTTAAATCTGGCACTGTCGTTCACTGCATACTTGGAAACGGCTCCGTCATCTCAGTGTCAGCCCTAAGGCTGTTTTAACTCGTAATGGGCCACGTAGCCCCAGTTACGCGTTGCGATCTTTCCTACTTCGGTTGTTGTATTTCAAAGCTGAACCACTAACTAGAAACGATCATAATTTACTTGCGACCATTGTGTTACTCATTACGAAAGGTAGATCTACTAGCGGTAAGCGTCCATTATACGACGGCGTTCTATTCTCTTTTGCGTTCTTTAGACCAACTAACATTTAAGGACCATTTTACTGCAACTTTGTTTCCCTGTAAAGGCAAGATACAGCTATCACCTAATTTCACTGAAACTTGGCATCAGAGTCAGGAAAGATAGTTAAACTGACATATAACGAGTCCATTTTACTGAAACTTGCGTCCCAGTTAGGAAAGATAGATAATCATAATCCATTTTAATCGAGCCTAGTTCCTCTTTAACATTTTAAACTCTTATCAGTTAGAGTGAAATTCTTCTAAAAATGTACCAAGCGCTTGAAAGCACTGATTTAAACACCGATATTGGGCACCCTCCTGCACATATCACAGTAGTGGTGCAATCAATTGCCACAACATATCTCCCTTTGTTTTGAATTTTGAATTGTCTGCGCATTTACCATATGCAAGTTTTATCGCATAAATATATATATTTTTTTAAATATCAGTTTATTCTGCGTAGGAGTTGCACAGACATTTTTAGGTTTTGGTTGATACAAAATGGGTTAGTTGTATTTTTAAAGAAAGCATACACCCACGTTTCGTGGTGGCTAAAAGTGAAACAAACAAGAAATGGTTTCGATAGTGATGTATTTGAAACAGGTATCTTTTCCAAGTGAATAATTTCTTTTGGCCGACAGATTAGTATAGGAACAGCTTCTAGGTGTGTGGGAGAGATGGTGTGCTGGTTTGGTTGAAGCATTCGCTCGTCACGCTGAAGTCCCGAGTTGATTCCCTGTGAGTGTTTGTGCCCACCAGAATACTGCTGCAATATGGCTAAAAGCTGCTTAATCCCCCATTCCCCCACGAGCAGCGTGCAATACCATTAGTGCCTGTCTGTGTACCAGACACCCTACCTTGACGTGCGACGAGTTCATCTCCATCTCAACACCTCTTCCTCAACCTTGGATACATGTTTAGTATACCGCATACAGGACAGAACATGATCTCGTTAATTTTCTATTTCTGTTTCAAAGCGTTGAGAATAGAATAAGTCATTATTCATTCAATTTCAATTTGAAAATGATACCTCTCCTCCTCTTTTGGTACAGGCTATCTGATCTGATCACATGATATATCTCTATCGAGATCAGTATATATACTCACCACCAGAAGAAACGCGAACCATAGACACATTTGGACAAGTGTGTACGTTAAGAAGAGATGTTTCCAATGTGTACCATTTAATGACAAAACTAACAATCAGTCAAGTGTTACCACTGAGAGTCTATATTCTTATCACGACATGCTGCACGTGATTAAATTTTACACGCTTATCCTGCACGGGACAATTATGGTCATGTCGAGATCTCGTCATGGATCTATGACGTCACATATGATGCGTTCATGAGCGTCGATTCACACAACATTCCAGTATCTTTGTTTGTGCATCGAACCTATGTAATATCTCTTGAATATGAGTAATTCTTCATATATTAACCAACATGTATAGTATTCGCGTTTCTTATGTCGTTGAGTATCTTACAGTCATTTTAACAAATGCAATACCAACTCTGACAATATAATATTGTATCTGATCTATGACGACACATAATGCACACGACATCATGCCTGTGTCCGTACCCAGTTGCATGTATTATATGATTACAAGAAAACATCATTCTTCAGTTGTAAACGGGCAATTATTTTTTTTTCTAATTTGGAGAGAAAGTGAATGCCTATGGTTTGTTTTTTTTTTAATTAAAAACACGATGCAACACCATACGTTTTTTATTCAGAGTTTGTACGTTTCAAACCTTCATCTTATCTATGCAATATCGATCTAATTCAACACCTTGTATATTATTATGTAACAGGAAACTATATCAAGGAACTCTTCAAAGAACACTCCCAGCACATTATACACCAAACACCTTGGTCGTCGGTGATACGTGTTTACGGTGAATCAATATCAGGAAGCTGTTGTCAGCGCCGGTACGGTGGAAGGGCGGCAGAGATAAGTTAATTCATACGATCAGTCCATGCTTATAAGGTTAATTGTAGAAGTGTGTCTTCATGGTGAATACAGATAAATATTTATCAAGGAATGGCTCGGTAAGATTAGTGATTGAGTGAGTATGGTTTTACGCCGCTTTTAGCAATATTCCAGCAATATCACGGCGGGGGACACCAGAAATGGGCTTCACACATTGTACCCATGTCGGGTCTTCGGCGTGACGAGCGAACGCTTTAACCACTAGGCTACCTGACCGCCCCCGGTAATATTAAGATGGTGGTGTCTGGTAATATCATATCGTTAAGTGACCTTTTTAATTACATGTTTTTGTTATCTATATTTGTCCATAGGTCGAGACTGAGTTATTATTATATTTTTAGTCGAATCTGGATAACTCGAAAAAATCGGATGTGTGGGCGCTTTTGTTTCGTCTGTGTCCGTGGTATTTTTCTGTCATCATTTGAAACCAGATACTTAGAGTAAAAGTAATTGAAGTTAGTAAATACGCATCGCAAAGGTCCGTGGGTAATTTTACATAGGCAAACTAGTGGATAGAGCGTCTGCCCGAAGAGGGAAATGTCAGTCGTTTGATCCACGGTCACGTCATACCAAAAGATGTTAAAATACGGTACTTGTTGGTGCCCTGCCTGGCGCCCGGCATTAAGGAGCTAAAACAAGTACTGGTCGGCTCGGGGTCAGTACACTGTGTCTCAATGGGGCCTCCATGTTAAGATGCGGTATGGTGTCTCAGGAGACTATCACTACAAAACCGGCATACGCCCGCACAAGTACAAGCAGCCACCCACTCGTGGATGCACGACGCTGTATAAGTGCTATACACTTGAACACGACGTTAAATCAGATTTTATTTAATCTCACCTCACCTGATTTATCACACATGATTTTCTTTGTTGTTTACGGTAATTAAATGCGATAATGTTCTATTCTGAACGTAAAAGTCACTCTATTAGAAAATACCATGTTGATTGTGATAAAAAACACCTTTATCGATGCAGTATATATACATTTTGATATACATGTATATATTATTACGTTAAAATTGGCCCTAAAACGAGATGTGGTGTATGTTATTAGGATTTAATACCTCCTATTGACCAATAAGAAAATACTTTACCACAGTTGCATATAATGATTATGACATTCACAGTAAGCGTGGGCGATTGGTTCAGAAGTATAAACAGGTTTTCAGTTCTATAACCGTTTGTCCATAATGGTATTCTGGCTTGATAATTCCATATTGTTAAAGTGCTATTGTTACGGCGGTAGCGCTGTCAACGTAATTGCTTACTGATATCGTGATCTTGTCATGATATGATGACAATGTAATTCTATGTGATTGGCGATGTCATTGGTAATCCCACGTCGGTATGGCCGCTTCCTATAAACTAGATGCGATGCTCTTGCTATAAGATGAGTAATTATATCGATAATTATATGAACATGAATGTTTGTGTTATTCCGATTTTGTCGAATGAGTTTATTTTTCACGTTTGCCGAACGAGAGTGAGCAGCAATTATTTATTCTTCAGCGTTGTGCTAATTAGTTAACAATGCACATACGACAGCAATTACAAAATGCCATAACATGAAGCACACTGACTGAAAAGGTTTTGTCGCTTTTATGCACGTCAACGGTGTCTGTATTACCTCAACAACGCTATAGACATTGTGAAATAACTTGTACGGTATGCCTTGTGTGGATCGTAAGCCAGATGCGGACTAATATTGTCTAACACCACAGTAAACACTATTACAATTATACCACGTCGACTGAAAAGAACCAGTGGTTAATTATCCACGCTGTCGTGGAAGGAGGCACACGCCACCAGTTTATCCCTATTTAATCTGGCGTTGGGTACGTCAGGCTACCCTGAATCCATGCTTCATACAGGTACAGTAAACTACGGTTATAACGAACTCAAAGGGACTATTAATTTTAGTTCGTTATAACCGTAGTTCGTTATAAGTACATATACAACATGACTACAGCAAGTAGTCGGGACCAAAAAGTAAGTTCGTTATATCCGTCAGTTCGTTATAACGGTGTTCGTTATAACCGTAGTTTTCTGTATATAAGATAGCTCCACGTGTATGGAGGCGTTCTTGTCAGCTGATGTATGTAATTGAGCTATTTAGCTTGTTAATTCCATGTCATTAGAGCTCCATTGGCATATTCATGCTGAATTTAGTTTATGTTTTGTCGAATGTGGACACATTTGTTTCTGTTCATTCAGCTGTGAATGGGTACCAGGTAGGTTGAGATGGTTAATGGCATGCCGAAGCGAATTGCATAGCGAATTGCGGCGCCTTTGACGCCTTGGCCACACGCACTCCCATCAAACTATTCGAGCACGCCCTTTATGGTATATAGTCTTTGCATTTTGAATTAACTCATTACTTGTGAAACCACATTTCGACTTCATAATTAGTACTAATTAAATAATAAATATTTTCTAGGTTTGTTGTGATTCTCGCTGTGCAGAGTTGCTTCCCTTGTGCACGCGAGAAACCTATGATTGTGGGTTCGAATCCCGGTTCGCCCCGATTATGTTTCTAAGTTTGTCAGAACCGTACACGTGCTCGTTGGTCTCACCGAAGTGGTAAATGTCTGAGACCTGCATCACTTCGGGCTTTCCTTCCACATCAAACTTAAACGCCGTGATATAACTGTTCAAAGCGGCGTTTAACCCAACTTACTCATTCACTCACTCACTCACCCTGTCGTTATCCATTAAAATTTGTATGTCTTTTTCCAGGTCAATATGTGAGGCCACGTGTTGGGATTCAAGTGACGCCAATCTGATACTCTCAGTCTTTCATTATTTGTGATTTCGTCACCCTGACGTCATGAGGCCTGCACTGCACGCCAACATTCTGCGGCACCGCAGTCAGCGGGCCCGGCGACTATACAACAGACCCCATACCTTCTCCCTCGGTCGCTTGTTAATGATAATACTTGTGGGATCCATCCTCTTTATTCCGGGGCTGATTTTGACGATTCTCGGAATACAACAGGCAAAGGACACTGACTCGATGTCTCCTGGGAAAGGAATGTAAGTACAGTATTTGTTGTGCCAATATTCGTATATATTAAATTTAAAGCTAGGGAACACCTGTCTGTCTGTCTTATGAATTATATATCTTGATAGATAGGCTGTCGGTATATTTGGTTATGAAAAACATATGACCATCAGAGTGAAATTGATCCGTAGTCCACTATTGTAATCATTACTGATTAGGTTTGGCAAATTGTTGGTGTAGGCGACTTTTCAATACATTATTAAACCGGTAAATATTAGGATGTGGGGTCATTTGACCAGAATCAATATGCAGGAATAGCAATCATATTCAGACATAATTCAAATGTTCAAAGAAGCGAAGGGTAATGTGATCTAGTGTAATGTTGTTTCAGGGATTAAACATTGAACCAAATTCAATTAGTATAGCTATGCATCTGGTAGTCTTTGAATCTGATTAATATTTAGGTTGCCAGGCTTATATTATACCACTTAAACTAAATCCGGTGTTAGTCTGGGGAGATTAACACGTATGGATGTATCTAAATAAGAATCAGTTTGTAGATAAAACCAATAACGCATATTCTTTCCTGTGTTTTAATACAAATACATGTACCTCCTCCTCACTGGCTGGTCATATGGTATTTGTGAGTCATTTCCTCGATGAAATTGTTTTTTCTGGAAACGCACACATACTTTATGTCATCAGTTTCGTAAGAATATTAAGTGTAACACGAACACTATTATGGTAGTCATGGTGCTAAAAAACGAAAATGATATAAGATTGGATTTGTGGCTAATACTTATATTGTAAGGTTAAACAAGAAACAAAGCATCCTGGTATCATTTTTTGACAAATTGGTTTCTGTTGTCATTAAGTAAGTTCAGACACAGAGATACTTGCATGATATATGTTCTGATTAAAAAATAGGTGACATTCATTTTTTTTAGATTTCTGCTTAAATATTTGGTTTCATCGCTATAACAGATCAGTTATGGTCATACAATATGTCTGATACTAACCATGTTTTAGGTCTTTGAAAGGCATTTAGAAGTGATACACATCAGGAAGAGAATATATGGATGTCAACTTCTTTATTATGAGGAACACAACGTTTCGGAGTATATGTTTACTCCTTCATCAGGTGAATTAATGCCATGAGGCAGAGAGCATATGTATGCAAAGATAAGGACAACAAAATAATAAGATAATAAGCTAGAAAATCACAAAGGGTAGAAACCTAGCAAGGAAAGCCAACAGATGATTGGCGCTGATGGCTTCCCTTGTTAGTTTTGGACCCTTTTGTAGCTTTTGTTATCTTATTATTTTGTTGTCCTTACCTGTACATATATATGCTCTCTGTCCCATGGTATTCAATCACCTGATGAAGGAGTAAGCATATACTCCGAAACGTTGTTTTCCTCATAATAAAGAAGTTGACATCCATATATTCTCTTCCTTAACCATGTTTTGTTCACAGCATGTACAAAGCTATAGGCCCTACTATGTGCACTCTGGGTGTGGGCATGCTGTTTGGAGCTGTGGTTTACTATTGTTGCTACGGAATGGGGGATCAAACCCGGAGGGAGGCCAACCAGCAGGTAAGAAAAAAACATGTATTTTTACGTGTAATTACAGGTACAAATGTCGAGAAGCTGCGATCAAGGAATCAGTATGAACGCTCTTAAATATATGCTTTTTTAAAATATATTTTATTCTCAATAGTGAAACGGATTAGGTACAAGCTGTCCAACTTAGAATATCAGATCCATAATATTTACAAAATCCAATTACAATATGTTTATTTGTTGTTTAACGCTACAGCGTTTAATATTCCAGCTGTATGACGGCGGTCTATAAATAAGCAATCTAGTGATAGACATCATGAGCATCGACCCACGAAATTCGGATCGATAACATGCATCAACTAAGTCAGTGAGCCTGACCACCCGATCTCGTTTGTCGCCTCTTACGACAATTACAATATGTAAAATAGGTAGAAATAAGGAATGGAGAAGCGGATTAGAATATAGACTCGCTGCTACTAAGGGCTTGTAGAACACACGCAGTTCAAAGAAAAGAGGGAGGTTATTGTGTCTTTGAGTACACGTATGAAGTATGTTCACTTTTCAAACGTCAACGCCAGAGAATAGCAAGTCTCGATTATCCGCCGAAACAGACCCCATTGGAAATAAATGTATATCACGTATGCACAGATGTTTGATGGGATTGGATTCATCAATCCCTGTATAAGTATAAGGTGTTTGTGGAATAATATTGAAATAATGGCTGTGTTTGTCGTAAGGAGATATATGAATGTCTATTAAAGCGTACGCATGGATATAAGGGTTGTCATTTTCATGAAGAGGGATTTTACTAAAAACACTATATACTGTTATCGTATTTCCGTATTTTTCCTTTGACTTTCGCTTCATGTTCCAAGTTATGAATTCATTAATTTGCATTTGTGACCATTAGTATACATAATCAAATTCCGTTATTTCGGAAACATTGCCTTCAAGGCGATCAACGTCAAAATATATTTGGTCGCTTTTATTCATTTTCGTAACCATTGATAACTGCGGAAATGTTTCAATCCAGAAGATTCCAGGAGGAAAGAGGTCGTCAGGATCCTCTAGGCTCCCTTGCAAGTTCCATGTTCCATATCAATATGCACTTTGTGCAAATCATGCGTAGTTATTAAATACTGTCGACGTTCAATTTCTTACAAGTCAATTTAGATACGTCATTTGATGTTAGGGAAATTACAAAAGGTTTTCAGATACGTAATCATAATGTTCTCATGCCATGGCTGAATGAACAGGAACTGACACTGTAAAGAATTAACATGATAACAGGATTTACTTATGTTTGTATTCGGCAATAGGTTAATGAAATTAGGATTGCGTTTAATATTATAAAGACACGGAATTATTAAGAGCCTCTCTTAGTTTTGCATGTTTGTAAGCTGGAGAAATTGTCAAATTGTCATTATTTGTGTTTTTGAATTCAATATAATAATGAGATTTTCTCCTCTTGCATAATTTATTATTAAACTCATAAAATAGAGCTTTTTTAAATTATATATCTTAAAATGGTATCAAATTGCTGTGATCTTCTTCAAGCAATAACACTTTGAAGCAAATGGCCATCATTATGAAAATTGTGTTTTATTTGAAATACTATTGTGTGTTAATTTGATAAATATATATTTCTTATTTTTCAGTCTAGCTTAGCTGATCTCTATATGAACATGCATGATGTGAACATGTGTACAGTGGGATAACTTCTAGGCCATGTTTCCTATCAGAGATCTAAACTTTTTCACCATCCTAAATTCATTGAGTTATTTATGCATGCTAAATCAGCGCTAGGTGTTCCTTGGTGTCAAACTGAAAATATACCAACAGTGGTATAACAGATACTGTACAACCCATTTAGATTTATTTGAAGGGGCATTCTGGTATTATATATTAGAGTGATTGGGAAATCGCAATAAACATTACAATTAAAATCGCCCAACTGACCCACTTCTTAAAACGAAATGTGAAGAGAAGCAAGATGTCAAGAGATTTCAGACTTCGTGGAAAGCCAGCATTCGAGATATGCCGTTATTCAAGAGCTAGTTGTTTTTATTAGTGCATTGTACAGCGTGAAGGGGACTATCGTGGGGATGGGGGAATCTCAGCTATTTGCCGTCGGTCTTCCCTACAACACGAATGCGCAATTACCAGAAAATGAGGCCTGTTGGAGGCTTCCTCGTGGTGCTGTTGCTAGATATACGAAGCATCCTATAGCGTCGAAGACGTGATGTGCCCCATGTTTAGTTATATAGACAACCTTAGCACCGAAGTAATCACCAGTGGGCTTTGACTTCTATGGCGGCCAGATGAATGGATAGGTGGCCTCATCGCTGATCAATATGGCGGGATCTTGTTAATGGCTGGATGGATAAAACTCGTTATATGTGATCAGTGTAGGAATACTCGAGAGGCGGGTAGATGGATAAATTCTTACTTAATTGTATGTTCGACCATATTATCATGAAGATTGGATGAATATTTTCACCGTGGTCTGATCCGCCATTATCTCCTTATTCAAATGTTATTTGAAGGGTAATTGAAATTAAGAGAACGAACACAATTCAACTCCATCGACCCTAGAGCCTTATTACTTGTTTTGACTTACAACATTGATTGTCTTCAAACTCAATACGTACTCGTTTCTGAGCAATGTCATTCAAGTTCGATGCATACTGACATACTTTAGGACATCTAACTGTTTTAATTGCACGAACGTTAAACATATTTATGCTTTCTCTAAAACGATTTTCCATTTCGAGGAAGAAAAGAGATGTTACATGTATATATTCTACAATAAAACATGATAAGTAAACGAAATAATGAGTGCAAGGGGTTCATATTACTCTTTTTCAATTGTGTCATATGACACCACCACCCCCTAACTTACACGTTTGACGGTAAACCCTGAACACCAAAGTAACAGTTGTATGATTCATGTATTCGTTTCATTTGGACAAGGATACCCACATACAATAATCTGCCCTTTCTTGGATTAAAGGGGCTCAATTTTTGAAACAAAAGCTCAAGAAGCACGTATGTTTGTGTGGTCTCACCTCCAATGAAAACGATTAATGCAAATTATAATGTAATTGTATAACACACACGCTGGTACAGTAAGTGGTACTTTTGTATATTTATGTATACATGCGAACTGATAACCCGATGCAAAACACCTGACTAGTTTAGTGTTTAGGTCGAATCGCCCTACAAGAACTATCACATTAACCAGGTTGAGCCATACCGAACATTTGAGGATATATGTATATCGCCCTGTAAACCATTAAAACAGGCCAATGACCCTACAATGTGATATAAAACGTCAATGCCAGAAAGTAATCAGTCTCGATTACCTGTCGATGGAGATTCCACTGGGCGTAAAATGGGGTTTGTGTGTAATTTGTTCCATGTCAAAATAATGATACTCAGATTGCTATACAATATATATTAAATTGGGGGTTCTACCTTCTGCAGAAAAAAACATTGCGTATTTTGATGAAGTGGTCAATAAGTGATTCTGTCTCTTACAAACATTGTAGCCATTCCAGTCCAAGAATATTCAATGGTGCGTCCCTATGCCGCAATACATGAACCATATGTACGAAGGTTGATTGATTGAATCCTCACATTAAAAGTAATTGCGTAACAGTGAAATCTCTTGTCGTGGACACTACTTTATGTCTTAGAGGTATATCCACAAAAGACAATTGAGCAAATTGTTTGGCTGGACAAGTCAGTACAATAAGCCTGAGTCTGTGACCTTTGAAAATGGACAAACTTAAGTAACAGGCCGTGATTAAATACTCGCTGAAAAAGACATCCACACCCAAACATGAAGAAAGCTCTATCCGGAAGGCATTTCGACTTCAGCGTTGGTGTCATATCAGCTATAGAGAACGATTAGGAAAACCAAGAGAAAAAAAATGTTGATTGTGGAAATTATATAGTGAACAATAAGTTAGGCTAACTCTTTCTCTTTCTATGTGAGGCTCAGTACTTATCAATCACCCCACGTAAACTATACGCGCAACGACCAAGATATAGTTGCACGCTCATCATGTATGTCCTAACTCTTGATACATTTCTAGAAGTGAGAAACAGAAATGCACTGAAACATCCGCATTTCCTTTAATGTTTTAATGTGGTATCTTGATAGTTTTGTCATGCTATCGTTCGTGTACTTTTGAAACAACGCTACACGTTAAAGATATAGCCCGAGCAAGACAAGCGTCACATTAAACAATGATGAAATACATACAATGATGTTGTTATGTCTTGTCTTTGGACCTATACGTTCGTATAGGTTGTTGAAGCTATATCTATTTCCCTGCGGCATGTAAACACTCAAACCTGTGGCTGATAGCTTGAACATGTGAGCCAGGTCATATTTCGTGACAACACGATCTCATTTTAATTGTGTTGACTAGAATGAGGGACTGGTACATATTCTGACGTGAAATATCCACAGGAAGTTTACTTTTTAAACACAAGTTGACAATGATGACCTATATAGTATTTTGCGCTCAAAGACAAGATATGAATTGAAAATGTTTCGTTTCAAACAGCTCCATTTCTAGTTTTTTTACATAAGCGTTTTAAAACGTTTCTTTTAATTTAAAATGTTATTTTTATAAGAAGAATGTCTTAATAAAGATTGATGCCATGGGCATGTCCTAGGGTCATCTATCTCTTGCCAAATCCCACTTCAGTAATAGTTTCTAGCATCTTGGCGGTTAATGAACAGCATTGATTGTGTTTATTGACGCCTAGTGCCATGGCTGTAATGAACGGGATTAACTTCAGTTTGTCATTACTATCCCTGGCAGTGACGGCTATTGATGATAAGAAGTCCGGAATAATTCTTCATCCTAGCTAACGTCATGTATTGTATGTCTGGGTTACAGAGATGGTATGATCTGATGCTCTACTATATAGAAAATAATGATATTACTCACTTGCATATGCTATATATAAAACATCTCCAGAACATCAAACCAGGTGTCAAACAATTAAATGATGCACTGACCGAGTTTGCAGAACCATTGGAAAGCTGACATGGGTAACTAACTAACTGGAATTGCGATATTTATCTAACGATATTTGACCAAAACATTTGACCAAAGAACAGTTGACTGAATCAATGATATAAATGTCGGGATCTATTAAGCACTGACATTCGGAAATGAGACAACATCTTTTACACAGGAACAGCAGAAGGTCTGGAAATCCCGGTCAGGGAAACAGCATGGGAAGGCCAATGGAATCAATAATTTTGGCTTATTCTGATGGAAAACATTATCAGGCCTCGTCGATATTCGCAACCATGGAAGCACAGTGTCTCTTTTCCCGGGAGTATTTTTTCTGATCGATTTTTCGGGGTGGCTCCACCACTCACGTGTCAGTCGCTATAGGTCCTCGGTCCTCTAATGGTGCTGACTGACTTTACTAGGGGAGTTTTTGTTCGTAATCCTTTAACATTTGGAAATCTGCAGCAAGCAAGGAATCACTGCGAACCACACATTCAAGGGTCGTGTATAGTCTACATTAAGGGACTGTTTGGATGCTGTGCTAAGGTGTGGGGATAGATGAACAATTACACGGTAGTTCAAAAGATACTATCTAATATAGGCAGTTACTTAGAGCTGTTCATTTCCAGCTTGGGTACTCAGAAAGAAACATTCCACAAAGATTGGTTTTATATAACCGCTGACAACGTAATTGCTTCTTTATCTGTTAAACTGAGTGAACATATGGCCTGGTCCAATGATAAAGCTCCTACACTAAACCAACAAATCAAATTTATTGATTATTGCCAAAATACAAGCAAAATATAAGTCCACAAACTAAACAATATCGTTATATGCTGTACCGGGGGACATCAATGGTGTTTAGCCTAGTTTCAAGTCGTGGGAGACATGGGGACATGGCGACCTTTCACTTCACCTAAATTAACCTTAGTCAGACAGGTTTGAGATACGGGAGTATTTTCTGCCACCCAACTGGAGGTGTTTTTTATTGTAATTTGATATACCATGGATCATATTATAAATGAAAGTCATGTCAGTGTATATAACTGTTTCCATGAGTCGTCTGTGTGTTCATGTAAGAGGCACATTATGTGGGGATTGTTTTGCGAGACTGATATTTACATATGCATTTGTATAAAGAATTTACTTCAGTGTGTTTTACATTGATGGAGATATTAACGTAGAAACCGGTGTACACACGATGTAAATCCGCGTATCGTATTTACGCAAACTGTGCACACCGCTTTTTACGTTCGGAACTTCATAAAAACAAAAATGTATTGTAGTCAATTCTGATGAATATACACGTAAAAACTAATAACTTCACAGTCTGCTTATTTAATCAATAACACAAACATCTCTAGACAAACAGCGCAATAATCCAACAATAAGCTCCGCCCATTGTATTTTTAACAAAGAAGAATCAGAAGTCTGCTAGTGGGCATGGCCTTTTTTTGGTTTTTGGAATCATGAACGCAGAATACTTGCTTACCAAATGCAACAGAATCTTTTGTAATTTGTTAGGGGATATACTTATTTATCAGAGAATATAAATCTTTGTCAGTATAAACACAGAAGTCGAACATAGAATAATCGAATTTGCAATATGTTTCCAGTCACGAATTTGAAATGTAAAAATGAAAGGACAATGCTTTGTGTTTTGTTTGTTTGTTGTTTAACGCAATAGCAATATTCCAGCCATATGTCGACAGCCTGTAAATAATCGAGTTTAAGTTAGATAAACCAGTGATTGGTGTTATGAACATGGACCCACCGAGCCTGACGACTGGGTCCATGTGGTCCAATCGTACAACAAGCATAGTGTATGGACCTATCCTAACCCGGAATCCACCGGTAGAAATGTACTATGTATATAATATTATGATTAACGCTCGGGTCTGTTAACGTAAGCATTACTAAGCAGAACAGTACATTGTTTTGTTTTTGAGAGATGCGGGTGTATTTAGATCATGAGATTAACATGTCCAGATTTCAAAGCCTCGTGTTTTCAAGGGTTTTAAGGGAGTTGGTTTTCTTCCAGGGTTCTGTGATGTCATCCGATTCTAAAGGAAACCAGGGAACGCATGCTAGTATACGAAGTCACCATGAAAATGGTAGCCATCTTGGATCGCCTGATGGAGTCATTCGTCGCCCCAGTTACAAGGGAGAGCACCACTCTCCCCGGCACATTCACCATCACACATCTCAGCACCAATATCACGCGAACATGGGATCTGATGAAGAGGCAGTACCACTTGCTCCATCGGAAAACTTCTCTACGATAGACAGTTCGTAAGTATCCCTAATTCATTGATTACTGTCTGATGGTCAGATAAATGGAGTCTTCGATATGAATTATTTATTTAATTATCCACAATTGATACACGAATATCATATTCATGTAGAGTACAACACTGGCTCCATGAACTGATCTCATTTATTATACGGTATATTTGGGAGATAGAGTGAATATTGTTTTACGCCGCATATGTAGACATAGATATATCCCGGCATGTATTTTTTTCGGTGGAAAGAAGTGATGCACGGGGTTCCTTCTAAAATATCTTCCAAAGAAAATCTTCCTCAAACACAACCCGTCTTCTCAACCACATTGAGGAGCAACGGGTGGCCCAGACGTCTGAGTCGCAATTCACTGTGCAGCGTTGCGTCCCTTGAACACGCCAGTAACTTATTGTCGTGGGTTGGAATTCCGGTTCGCCAGGACCATGATTCTCTGTTTGTCAAGTCCATACCAATGCTCTTGGGTTTCCCGAAGTAGCAAACGTCTGAAACTTGCATCACCTCGGTTTCTCCAAATTTAAGCTGACACGCCGTGATATGACTGGAATATTGTTTAAAGAGCACTGGAAGCAAACACTCATTCACTCTAAGCAACATTAAGCTGTTCAAGGAAGATAGTTCATTGTAAAACATTCTCAAAAGTATTTCGTGACTATCTATAACCAGACTGTCAAAACAACATTAAACCGTTTCAGAGTGAGTGAGTGAGTGAGTGAGTTGGGTTTAACGCCACTTTAAATAATATTCCAGTCATATCGCGGCGTGTCAGCTTAATGTGGGAGGAAAGCCCGAAGTGATGCAGGTCTCAGACATTTACCACTTCTGTGAAACCCATGAGCACGGATATGGTGCTGACAATCCTAGAAACATAATTAGGGCGAACCGGGATTCGAACCCACAATCATAGGTTTCTGGCGTGCTCAAGGGACGCAACTCTGCACAGCGAATCGCGGCGCCTTAGACGACTGGGCCACCCGTGCCCCCAAACCGCTTCAGAACAATGTCCCATGTGAGTATGTATTTGCAGGTCACCCTCCAAGCCCATGGTGTCTATAACAGTGGAAGATGTGTCCGACTCGGCTCTGCGTCACTCACCGTCTAACGCAGAAGAGACGGAACTAATGATCAACGGAGGTGTAAGGACTGATAGTGTTAAAGTCTGAAGTTTCATCTATTGTGATGGGAGATTACATAAATCCTGCTCAAACTATATTTTGTGGCCTTCTGACAGAAAGACTTTCCCAGGGCAGCAGGCTGAGCTAAACTAGACTGGTTGTGGAACTAAAGTCTAGAGCATTAAGATAGATGTTGTAGTTGATACAAAGTGGTGTGGTCTCAGCAAGTAGCGAGTTCTATGTACGTCGGTAGTTGTAGCAGAGTCTATGGGCAATGCAGCGTACAGAAGGCGGAAGGCCCGGTGTCCCAAAAGTCCTGCACGAGCCGGAGAAGCACCTCAAAGCTGGATACGAATATCACCTATATACGCAGCCACTTCGCAACGCACCAGTGGGAGGACGATCTAGGATACCGAATTTGGTTTTAGATTACAATGGATAGCCTACACGTAATTTCTTCGCATTTTTCATTTGTGAAAGTGTTTTGGCGTCTTTTAAAACGTAGTTTGAACATTTTGGGCACATGTTTATATGTCCATGCACCAGAGTCCCTGCTCACTGATTCTGCCTCCAATTTCAATGGCTTCCACATGGAATAATGTTATGTGTCTCGTGTTTGTGTATATTTTACAAGTGGAAAAACGAACAAGTCATCGACATTGCGATATATCACTAAGAAGACTATGCGTCATATTTTTCATGGCGTCGAAGCAGAGAACAGCCTAATGTTGATATTCGATCAGGGAAATACCCATGATCCTCTTGTACATAATCACAAACAGTAGCACATGTCAGTGATGGACAAACTAAACTTTCAGTACAGCAAATGTTACCCTAAGCCTTTTAATCAACGTATAACGGCACTATAACATTTTGCACATGAACTATTTTTCAAATATGTCATTTGCAAGTTATTTAGCAGGACTCGTATATAATTGTACATTGTGTGCAAGATGTCAGTGTAGATGTCTTCGCTTCCTTTCAGTCGTTGATTTACAATCAATATCGATGTCTGATGAAACTTGACTGGGAACTTTTACTTAGACAGTTCCGACTGCACAATAACTGTTTTTGTGTTTGATGATACTTGTGTGCCCTGTTACCACTGATGTTTGAACATGAGACATTTGGAGGAGAATAACAGCGGGGCATGTGGAGAAGCATGGCATGTACACAAGCAAGACGTGATATCACAGAGTCGGGATACAAGGTCGTGTACTGAGATGCTGGAGATACACATGTCCTGCACACAGTCCAAGCAGGGAGACACTTGGATACCACGTGATATGTGTGGGAACTATTTCACACATCTATTCATGTAACGAAACCCTTGAATTCTTCATACCGTTTCCCCTCCATCTCTCCACATTCTTCAACCAACCTTGTCTAAACCTCTTACCTACCGTGCATCTTCCTCTTCTAAAATACCCCATTCCTCCCTACTCCTCCCTCTGTCCTCCCAACCCTTCAATACATCTTAACTTTAACATCCCTCTCATCAACCTCCATCTCCCTCCTTAGATTGATCGCTGTGTAGAGTTGCGTCCCTTGATTGTTGGTTTGAATCTCGGTTCGCCCCGACTATGTTTCTAGGTTTGTCAGCACTATATCCGTGCTCGTGGGTTTCACCGAAGCGGCAAACGTCTGAGACCTGCATCACTTCGGGCTTTCCTCCCACATTAAGCTGACACGCTGTGATATAACTGGAATACTGTTAAAAACGGCGTTAAACCCAACTCACTCACTCACTCACTCCTCAGATTGAGGGCCACCCTTCAAAATTCAAACCCCTCCTTTCTCCATCTTGCCCCGTTTACCAACCCTCACTTCTCATCCCTGTATTTCGTCACGCGCCAACATGACCCGGCAAACCCTAACTCCCATAAATCACCATGTCATCCTGCTCAGCCTACAAAGTTAACCCTCCTTTTCCAAATCGCATCCACAATTCTTAGTCCCTCCCTGTTTACCTTGTCATCCTTTTCAGACCTTCACATCACCTCTCCTGATCTTTCAAACCCTTCTCAATCCACCCCCTTCTTCAAATCGCCAAACTGTTCCTGTCAGCACCATCCTTTAATTTGCAACCATCCTTCTAATCCATCAACCCCCCAGTGCTTCTCAGTCCATCCCGTCTACTTTCCATCCCTTCTCAACTCATTCCTTTAACATACATTCTTGTCAACCATCCTTCAACTTGTGGTTCTTTTCTCCTCGCCATTCCTTAATGCCATATCCCTCTTCTCTCCATTCTTACCCCTCAATCCTCCATACATCCCACTGGTCCCATACTTTCAACACCCTCCATACCTTCCTCCCCATGTCCCGAATTCATCCTTTCAACTCCCCCTGAGAAACCTTTGATCCCTCCTTCAGGTTTTATCATTATCATTACATAACACTTTGTTCGCTTCACAATGTTAACTATGACGGTGTTTTAAACTGATGTATTTGATGTTTGTTACATTTTGACGTAAAAACATAAACATTACGCATATATCAAATTCGGACAACTTTGATTTCTTTCTAGAATGAAAGCACCATGTTTGATGAATGAGTTTTATTTAACTCTTATTTTGTGAGTCTCTGGTAAAAATTGCAATATTATATGTAGTACTTTTTTATCTACTTTTTAGCCTTACGTGAGGCAAATATATGACGTGTATATTTACAATTTTATGTCGTTTAATCAAACTGATATTTTTACAGCACTTGGATAGCTGTCACCTTGCCATAAATCACATCTGTGCACGTCCATGCTCCTCGATCTAACACGATATATTTGTGAGACAGACCTCTGGTTCATGCACAACACATGCAAATTCACATTCTATGCTTCAAGCTTCATGTTGCAAGTTGGAAGACCAAAGGGTTGCTTTGAGATAACCATAGTAGTCCTTGTAGGTCCACTTCAAGATTCACCAGTTTTAGCTCGATGGACTGTAGGGCTGAATAAACGCATTCATAACGCATGCAATTTCTGCGTTGTAGAAGTGAAAAATTGTATTATGGTATTCACAAGCTGATGCTGTTCATGAACTTGGGGTGTGTCACGCGGCAAATCGCCAATACACAACCCACACACAAGCTTATTCAGCTTTTTTAATTTGTACTACGTTTGTTCAGGGGAATGGCATTGTCTTTAAACAAAGTGTACGAAGCGTTCTGCAGGACTGGTTGTATACATAGCCACTCTTTCAGGATCAGTGATGTTGATTTTAGAACATTCAAAAATATCATACAGACATTCGCCAGGAGTGACGATATTCATTACCTCGCGATATTTGACACATACGTTCAGCAGGAGTGGTGGTATTCATGAAGACACGTTCAGCAGGAGTGGTGGTATTCATGAAGACACGTTCAGCAGGAGTGATGGTATTCATGAAGACACGTTCAGCAGGAGTGGTGGTATTCATGAAGACACGTTCAGCAGGAGTGATGGTATTCATGAAGACACGTTCAGCAGGAGTGATGGTATTCATGAAGACACGTTCAGCAGGAGTGATGGTATTCATGAAGACACGTTCAGCAGGAGTGATGGTATTCATGAAGACACGTTCAGAAGCACTTAAAGTATTCAGATGAACTCGGTATGTCACTTGATTGTTTTGCGGAAGTGACGGCAGTCATAGCCCCGGAGTATATCACACACTCGTTCAGCAGGAGTGACGGCAGTTATAGCCCCGAGATATGTCACACACTCGTTCAGCAGGAGTGACGGCAGTCATAGCCCCGAGATATGTCACACACTCGTTCAGCAGGGGTGATGGCATTCATAGCCCCGAGATATGTCACACACTCGTTCAGCAGGAGTGACGGCATTCATAGCCCCGAGAAATGTCACATACACGTTCAGCAGGAGTGATGGCACTCTTTTCACCGAGATATGTCACACTCGTTCAGCAGGAGTGACCGCTTTCATATGCCGAGATATGTCACATACTCGTTCGGAAAGGAATGATGGCATTCTTTGCCCTGGGATGTGTCACATACTCGTTCAGCAGGAGTGACGGCATTCATAGCCCCGAGATATGTCACTCACTCGTTCAGCAGGAGTGTAGGCATTCAAAGCCCCGAGGTATGTCACATACTCGTTCAGCAGGAGTGTAGGCATTCAAAGCCTCGATGTATTCACACACTCGTTCAGCAGGAGTGACCGCATTCATAGCCCCGAGATATGTCACATACTCGTTCAGCAGGAGTTAGGCATTCAAAGCCCCGAGGTATGTCACACACTCGTTCAGCAGGAGTGTAGGCATTCATAGCCCCGAGATATGTCACACACTCGTTCAGCAGGAGTGACGGCATTCATAGCCCCGAGATATGTCACACACTCGTTCAGCAGGAGTGACGGCATTCATAGCCCCGAGGTATGTCACACACTCGTTCAGCAGGAATGTAGGCATTCATAGCCCCGAGATATGTCACACACTCGTTCAGCAGGAGTGACGGCATTCATAGCCCCGAGGTATGTCACACACTCGTTCAGCAGGAGTGTAGGCATTCATAGCCCCGAGAAATGTCACATACACGTTCAGCAGGAGTGATGGCACTCTTTTCACCGAGATATGTCACACTCGTTCAGAAGGAGTGACCGCTTTCATATGCCGAGATATGTCACATACTCGTTCGGAAAGGAATGATGGCATTCTTTGCCCTGGGATGTGTCACATACTCGTTCAGCAGGAGTGACGGCATTCATAGCCCCGAGATATGTCACACACTCGTTCAGCAGGAGTGTAGGCATTCAAAGCCCCGAGGTATGTCACACACTCGTTCAGCAGGAGTGTAGGCATTCAAAGCCTCGATGTATTCACACACTCGTTCAGCAGGAGTGACGGCATTCAAAGCCCCGAGGTATGTCACTCACTCGTTCAGCAGGAGTGTAGGCATTCTAAGCCCCGAGGTATGTCACACACTCGTTCAGCAGGAGTGACGGCATTCATAGCCCCGAGATATTTCACACGCTCGTTCAGCAGGAGTGATGGCACTCTTTTCCCCGAGATATGTCACATACTCGTTCAGCAGGAGTGATGGCACTCTTTTCCCCGGGATATGTCACATACTCGTTCAGCAGGAGTGTAGGCATTCAAAGCCCCGAGATATGTCACACACTCGTTCAGCAGGAGTGTAGGCATTCAAAGCCTCGAGGTATTCACACACTCGTTCAGCAGGTGTGTAGGCATTCAAAGCCTCGAGGTATTCACACACACGTACAGCAGGAGTGCAGGCATTTACAAAGCACAGAGGTATACTTGTGACACTCGTCAAGTAAACGGGATATAGGTTTACTCCGGGTATGTTACACACATGTGGAGCAGTTGCTATCAAGAAAAATATAAGTTGGCGCTCTGGTTATTTTTCTCACGAAGCTACCCTCACGATACGTCTACGCCTCTATCCACTGATAGTTTTTTCTCCTCTGTCATACCATTCATTTATTCATATTTTTTAAATTTAAACACCCTCAGTTATGTACATGTATGTATATATGCTAAAAGTGTCATCTTTTTACAATATGTCTCAAGAAGTTTTCTTCATGACACGTTGTATGTTGTAATGATCTGTCTTTTGAAAAATAGACCTAAGACCAATGAATCTCTGAAAATAATGTTTTCGAGGAACTCTATACTCTCTTCTACATGCATAGGTTTTTTGTCAATGTGTTCTAACATCAACAATGTAAGTCTTTTTAGATATGTGTATATATATTTTGTTTATATTAAATAATTGTTTTGAATATATTATCTTTGGAAGAAATATGACGTTTGAAATCACAAGAGCCGATCTGATTATTTGCTGCCTGAAGAGAGCGGTTTGTAGTCTCGCTTGTGTGCACCATTGTGTCCAGATTGTTGACAACTTGAGACATAAACAAGATCGCTTAATGGGGAGAGTTAATGTCTCTCTTTCGTGTCACTGTCGGGGTCATGTCATGATCTATTAAATATGTCTACATCAGCAGGTCTTACATTATTAACCAACTTAATGTGGGCCTCCACATTCATCAATAGGGAAATGGGCATTTAATATATAAGAATGTGTAAAACGAAATTACACCGGGAATAAGGAGCAACGTTTTTTCTACTCAAGCACACGCTTTCCTATAAAAACGCCATATGACATATTCTCAACGGAAGTGTAAATTAATACATTCGTTTATCAATTTTATCTATTTTTCTACTTCATTTACTTTCAGGAACTCCCCCAATTATAAGTAAAATATATCTGAGGAGCACGATGCTGTGCTTGCGCCACTTTTCACAAATCTCTAATAGTGCTAATAGCGTCTTAAGCCCCATGCTAACACTGATTTACGTAGTCGTAGTTATGAGAACTTTAGCCATATTCCAGGTAATGTTAAAGGATGCCTAACACTAAAGAGGATGGGGAGCGAAAGGTGCCGGTCGTGTTTAATGAAGGTACCATCTGGTAAACAACTTCATCACCTCACTGTTGTGACAAAAGCCAGAGCGGTTTTTTCAAACGTTGGTTCTTTACGAGCTTGAGCATCAGTATGATAGATCGAGCAGTTCTGGCTAGTATTTTTCGATTGATTTGTCTGCCATGTTTGTACTTTAATGTACATGTATATTATAACGACACTTTTTTAATAACATGCCATTGATAAGGAGATTTATTTTCACATCATCCTCATATTTGATTTGTTTGCAGTGGTATTCAACGTCCGGGTCAACATGATCATTGTCGGACCAGGAACGTTCGTTTTTCAACGACAATGTCTTTATAACTGATACACTTTTACTGTTAATGTACGATATTAAACGAACCCGTACAGCTGTATACTCGACAGAAAGGCCGTTGACAGCCTCTGACACCAACACGATATATATCTGTCAAGGTTTGCCTTCCACCTGTGTATTGAACATCAGAACCAGTTTTTTGTACAGGGGTATCACTTGGTTTGATCCTTACGCTAAATAAAATACCTTTATTATGAATGCAGTGGTTAGTTGTACTTGTAGGGAGCGATCTGAGTGATGGTTTTACATGCAAGCGCTCCGTCTGTTTGTAGAAGAGAAGCTGATGGAAGACTTACAGTGTGTTATTAGCATGTGTCATGTAATCATTCGCCCCTTTAGTATTAATTGTTATTCCTGAGGGCAACTCATACGTATTCACTTCACAGACACCTTGTGTCATCACTGTATCTCGTGGTGCAGGCTTCAGTTAATCTGTCAAATTTGTTGAGTACCTTTCAGTTCATTTGAAATAGGACCACGAATACCACAAGGTCTTTGCGTTTCGTTAAGCAAAGTTTTAGACTGAAGACTTAACGTAACATAAATTCCAAACGTGAACGGCAGATACAAATCAATCTGGACAATTCGCCGAAGGAGACTCCACTGGGTGGGGAACAGCAATGAAGTCATGTCAGCTACACAGAAGCATATCCGTTCGTCGTTTTGTCAGTGCAGCAGTTTTCGTCCACACATCAAGCGGGATAGCTGTTGCTAAAATATTCAGACAAATCGGAGCATTAGTTGGACCCAGCCTCTATGGAATCGGGCATTGACATTTGCGTGTCTCATCATATATTCCGGTCAATGCCATTATATTTAAAGTGACAGTAAATGATAGGGAGATGGTTAGGTTATTTATGTACTATCGCCAGTCTCTATAGGAGGGCCTAGCATGTTTTGCTTCGGGTTCTACTAGTCGAGCAGGACATATTTACCCTTTTCGCGGACACCTGGTATCAACACTATTTGATGGTGATTCATTAACACATGTTCATGTTGTAGTCGGAATCTTACAATGGACTCTGCTTTTAGTCGAAATGTCTTATGATTATGGAAAGGGCTTTGTCGCTTTCATTCGCATGTAACATATAACTGTACTATGGGATGCTAAATTTAAGGTTAATGGTATGAACTCTCACTAACAGTATCACTGCAAAGCTATCTGAACGTTGTTAATGAAGGCATGATGAAGATACAATCCCTTCTGTTATCCCTTCTGTGGGGGCACGGGGGGCCCAGTCGTCTTAGGCGCCGCGATTCGCTGTGCAGAGTTGCGTCCCTTGGGCACGCCAGAAACCTATGATTGTGGGGTCGATTCCCGGTTCACCCCGATTATGTTTCTAGGTTTGTCAGCACCATTCCCCTTGCTCGTGGGTTTCACTGAAGTGGTAAACGTCTTGAGACCTGCATCACTTCGGGATTTCCTCCAACATTAAGCTGACACGCCGTGATATAACTGGAATACTGTTAAAAGCGGCGTTAAACCCAACTCACTCACTCACTCTTACAGAAACGGAGAATTAGACTGAATAGTTACGTGCATATTGTGAGTACTTAATCCATGGCCCATGCGACGAGCTTCCTACGTTTGGTTGTAGCACGTGTAGATGAGTTGGTATAATGGAGGGAAACATGATATAATTCAAACAAAAGACATAAAATCACACCATATAACATCACATGTAATATAAATATAACATCACGCATAGCTTTAACACCGCACTCAGCATTTTTCCAGCTATATGACAGCGCTCAGTAAATAATCGAGTCTGGGCCAGACAACTCAGTGATTGATAGCATCAGCATCGATCCAAGCAATTGGGATACGATGACATGCAGGAACCAAGTCAGCAAGCCTGACCACCCGATCCCGTTGGTCACCTCTTACGACAAGCATAGTCGTCTACATCACGCATAGCATAGACACGTAACAACACACGTGGTATCACACATAACATCACACTTAACATCAAACATGACATCACACATAACATTCACACATAACATCACGCGTGGTATCACACATAACATCACACTTAACATCAAACATGACATCACACATAACATCACGCATGGTATCACACATAACATCACGCGTGGTATCACACATAACATCACACGTGGTATCACACATAACATCACACTTAAAATCAAACCTGACATCACACATAACATTCACACATAACATCACGCCTAACATTACACACAACATCAAACCTAACATCACGCATAACATTCACCCGTTACATCACACACATCACACAAAACATCAATATGACATCACATTCATAGTCATAGTGGCCAAAATTGCTCACTATGTTGTGTGGCCAATATGCTCACTATGTTGTGTGGCCAATATGCTCACTATGTTGTGTGGCCAATATGCTCACTATGTTGTGTTGCCAATATGCTCACTATGTTGTGTGGCCAATATGCTCACTATGTTATCAGGCCAATATGCTCACTATGTTGTGTGGCCAATATGCTCACTATGTTGTGTGGCCAATATGCTTACCATGTGTGGCCAATATGCTCACTATGTTGTGTGGTCAATACGATCACCATGTTGTGTGGCCAATATGCTCACTTTGTTGTGTGGCTTATATGCTCACTATGTTGTGTGGCCAATATGCTCACTATGTTTCGTGGCCAATATGCTCACTATGTTGTGTGGCCAATATGCTCACTATGTTGTATGGCTTATATGCTCACTACGTTGTGTTGCCTATATGCTCACTATGTTGTGTGGCCAATATGCGCACTATGTTGTGTGGCCAATATGCGCACTATGTTGTGTGGCCAATATGCTCACTATGTTGTGTGGCCAATATGCTCACTATGTTGTATGGCTTATATGCTCACTATGTTGTGTGGCCAATATGCTCACTATGTTGTGTGGCCAATATGCTCACTATGTTGTGTGGCCAATATGCTCACTATGTTGTGTGGCCAATATGCTCACTATGTTGTGTGGCCAATATGCTCACTATGTTGTGTGGTCAATACGATCACCATGTTGTATGGCTTATATGCTCACTATGTTGTGTGGCTAATATGCTCACTATGTTGTATGGCTAATATGCTCACTATGTATAGGCACCTCTGTTCTGGTTATGCTGGGACTATTCAAGCCGCTATATTGTAATACATAGTTATTGTAGTGACCTTTTACAATCCACGTGGACATTTCTAGTGGGAGTACATAGCTGACGGTTATAGAGTACTAATTTTAGATTTATCCCTCCGGTAAGCATTATTATAATGGTCCTATGGCGGTGTTCGGCAAGAAAGATACTTAATATTGTGGCATGTTCCTTTAGCAGAAAGGCACAGCCACAAATAATAAGAAATACTAATATTGTTGAAAATAGCATGAACACCTTCCTAAAACCGTTAATCAATTCGATGTGGCCTAAGAATAATGTCAGACAAGTTGGGGACTAACGCCAGTAGCATAAGGATCCTTTTCAAGAGTAACAAGAAATCGCGGATAATGTTCACTCTTCAAATACTGCTGATGTCTGGCCATGGCTTATATTCGCTCAGTCAACCACGCAAGTATTGTTATCGCTGTCATAATGCCACTTTAAAGACTGTTACTGACAAGTGCGCCATTGTTACTTCCGTTTAATTGTCAGGTGTCCTATGTGTCACCACTGTAACATTTACCATTTAATGGCGTATTGCCACTGTCATGTGATGTTTCAATGCTCTTCGTCCTTGTACGAGTCATTGTGAGTTAATAAGTCTCCCGTTATATGATCGCGTCACCTCCCTCTGTTATCGATAGTCGTTAATGGCTGTGTCATCCCCTCTATTGTTGATGGTCGTTAACAGCCACAACCACCTTATATCTCGTTAATGCTCTCGTTATCTGTCATAATATGTCCTGTATGTTATTGTTGCAATTGTGGGGTTATTTCTCTTGAAACGGTGTATCGTCATCACTGTCCAAAAGCCCTTTGATACCACTCGCCATATAGCTATGTCCCAATGTGTTAACCTGATCTTATTGCCTGAGTCTCAATGTCTACTGTTAACCTGGTCTTATTACCTATGTCCCAATGTCTACTGTTAACCTGGTCTTATTACCTATGTCCCAATGTCTACTGTTTACCTGGTCTTATTACCTATGTCCCAATGTCTACTGTTAACCTGGTCTTATTACCTATGTCCCAATGTTAACTGTTAAGCTTCTGTCTTTACCTATGCCACAATGTCTACTGTTAACCTGGTCTTATTAACTATGTCCCAATTTAACTGTTAAGCTTTTGTCTTTACCTATGCCACAATGTCTACTGTTAACCTGGTCTTATTAACTATGTCCCAATGTTAACTGTAAAGCTGGTCTTATTACCTATGTCCCAATGTCTACTGTTAACCTGGTCTTATTACCTATGTCCCAATGTCTACTGTTAACCTGGTCTTATTACCTATGCTCATATGTAAACTGATGACCTGGTCTTATTACCTATGTCCCAATGTCAACTGGTAACCTGATGTTATTACCTATCTCCCTAAGTCAACTGTTAAGCTGCTTTTATTACCTGTGACACAATGTCTACTGTTTACCTGGTGTTATTACCTATGTCCCAATGTCTACTGTTAACCTGGTCTTATTACCTATGTCCCAATGTCGACTGTTAACCTGGTCTTATTACCTATGTCCCAATTTAACTGTTAAGCTTCTGTCTTTACCTATGCCACAATGTCTACTGTTAACCTGGTCTTATTACCTATGTCTGAATGACTACTGTTAACCTGACCTTATTCCCCGTGTCGCAGTGTCTACTGTTAAACTGGTCTTATTACCTATCCTCATATGTTAACTATTGACCTGGTCTTATTACCTATGTCCCAATGTCAACTGTTAACCTGATGTTATTACCTATCTCCCTAAGTCAACTGTTAAGCTGCTTTTATTACCTGTGACACAATGTCTACTGTTAACCTGGTGTTATTACCTATGTCCCTATGTCAACTGTGAAGTTGCTTTTATTACTTATGTCCCAATGTCTACTGTTAACCTTGTCTTATTACCTATGTCCCCATGTCAACTGTTCACCTGGTGTTAATATCTATGTCCCTATGTCAACAGTTAACCTGCACTTTTTACTTATGTCCCAATGTCAACTGTGAAGCTGGTCTTATTACCTCTCTCCCAATGTCTACTGTTAACCTGGTGTTATTACCTATGT